TTTTAAATAAAAATTAATAAACTGGAAAAAACTTTAAAACAGAATTTATGTCTTTTAATAGCCCTATACATTTTAATAATATTGAAAAAAATATTTTAAGTGTATTTTTATTGCGTTTAAATTAGGGATAGGCATAAACAGCCTCAGTAACCTTCTGGTTCCACTTCTTAGATATTTTTTCCAACATATTTTCATATTTTAGACCTAAACAGTACTATTTTCATGCAAAACAAGCAAATAAGTAAATAAATAAAAGAAACAAATAATTAAATTTGGGGGAAGCACTGAACTCTATAATCTAGCTTGCCTCGAGGTGAATTTTGGTTTTGAATTGTTAATTTTAGTTCCTTTATCTGCTGACCTAGGATAGAGATATAATGGAGGAGAGTTGGATCATTTTTAAGAGAAGATTTTTTTTCCTCAAAATTGCTACTGGGGCTGTGAATGGAAAAATAGGACAACTGCAAAGGGGCATGAAAGAGCTTTTTGGGCAATGAATATCGTTTAAAACTAGATTGTGGTGATGGTTGCACAATTCTGTAAATTTACTAAAAATTATTGAATTGTACATTTAAAATGGTGAATTTTATGGTATGTAAACTACACTTAAGCTATCATACATATACATACCTAAATAAAATAATAAGTGATCTTCATACAAAGCCAAAAAGTTGTTTTATTGGCACTTATATGGATTAAATATATGTTAATGAATAAGATGCATAGTATACTTTGTTAAATATTTTCTGTATTACTTTATTAAGAACATAATTAAAACTAAGCAGGAGAACAAAACCTATTTTAATAAATATTCACCATTAAATTATCACTTTCAGATTTATTTACAGTCATCTCTTTTCTACCTGGAGTAGAGTCTTCCTTCTAAAAGATACCATGAAGGACCAAAGAAAAGTAAAATTTTTATCTTCAAAATGAGCTTTCATCAAAGAAAAAGGTAGCCTCGCATTTCCTTTATTTAAAATTTTAATTCTCTATGTAATGGGAAAAATCACTTCTTTCATCAACAAGGAGAAAGAATAAATGAACAGAATAAAAAAAAACCTTGGTTTCCTAATAGCTTAAATTAGATTTAGGGGCCAATATTTCGTCTTTTCTCTTTCTTCCTATAGTTATAAATACATACATATAAATGCTATTTGGTTAAACTTTCAAAATATGCTTAGTAGATTTTAGAGCCAGAGTTCAAACCTATTTGTATCTGGAGCCCACATGCACCTCACTGCACTGTGATCACTGATACACACAGGTATGTGTGTAGAACAGAGAAGTAGTCTTCAAGATGAAACCCTGGGATTGTTCTTCCTGACCAAAGCTACTGAGGCTTATACAATTTATTCATTGCTTCTGCAGGAAGATGGCTCTAAGGAAGAAATTAATGGTGGTAATGTGTGAAGAGGGGTAAAAAGAACAGTGGCACAGGTATGACATAAAGTTTTCCATGTAAGAATCCTATTTATTTCATGAGCTAGAGACAGTACATACTCAAGTGTTGTGGTCAGGATAGGAATATAAGGTTGTCATACTGGGGATAATGGTAAATGAACTCAACTCCAAAGTGGGAATCTTCTATCAGATTGTAACTATTCTCACTCTTTCAAAAGGTCAGGGATCATACACATTTTTCCTTTCAGACGCAGAGAGAAGAAGATCAGAAATGGTTTAAATACAGATATTTAATTTTCAGGATAAGCCATTTGAAGTAAGCAAATTGAAGTCACATATATCCTTCCATGTCTTGGAATTACATGGATCTATATATTAGCTAGTAATAGCAGAGCTAGTTAGAGAGAGAGAAATATGGCTGATTGATATTAAAGCAAAAATGAGGGCCTTTAGTCACTTCCAGAACGATAATAAATGAATAAATCTTTTTTTGCAATTAACATTTAAGCTGTAAAATAAGAAAATAGCCATTATACCATAGAGATCATTAATATGTGAATAGCATGGATCGTGGAAGATCAGTTAATGTGAAAAGCAAACAAACAAAACAGATGAACAACCTGTAAGAGAGCTCAAACTAGGGAAAGCAGAAATACTTATTTTAGCTACAGATGGCTCACTAAATCCCCTAGGGAGGAGAATTTAGTAATTAAAACCTGAATTGTTATCATTTTGCTTATGATGTCTAAGTAATAAAGCTTATAGAGTCTCCATACTATAAATTCTAAACCTGTGATTCTATATCTCATTTTGTGGCCTTATGAAATTCTGGCAACATGGTATATAGTAAGAAAAGGACAGACTTGGGAGTAAAGAAGACAAGCGCTGTCTTCTGAGCTCTGCCTCTCACTAGCCATTGCCCATGAGTGATTTACTTATTTGTTCCTCATCTAAAAATAAAGATAACAGACCAGGCATGGTGGCTCACACCAGTAATCCCAGCATTTTGGAAGCCTGAGTCCAAAGGATTGCTGGAGGCCAGGAGTTTGAGACCAAGCCAAGCAACATAGCAAGACCCCATATTTACAAAAACCAAAAAATTAGCAAGGCATGATGGTACACACCTGTAGTACCAGCTACTCAGGAGCCTGAGGCAGGAGGATCATGTGAGGCCAGGAGGTCAAGGCTGTAGTGAATCATGATTGTGCTACTGGACTCCAGTCAGAGTGACAGAAAGAGACCTTTTCTCTTAAAAATAACATAAGATAAAATATTAATAAAATAAATTAAAGATGCAGATAACATTATCTATGCTGGTAGCTACAGATCATCTGTAGAGGAATGGCAAGAAGGTAGCAATCTTGCTAGTAAGGGATGAAGAGATTCAAAGAGTTTGAAACTGCATTAGCAAAAGAAATGATTTTTACTTAAATGTATTTGAAGTGATGGAAATTATAGGGAAGTTAAAAAATCACCCCATACTCAAGTTACTCATTGCCACCACCTTGAAATACAAGGTTAGCCAGAAGAATTTTTGGGTAACCTATGCTTCAAACTGACTAGACACTTAGCTTTCTTCATTGTAACCATCCTGTGAGTTCATATTTTGCATAGGTTGATATTAGAATAAAAATTCTGATACTTAGAGAAAAAAGAAAATCAGGTATGCTATACATCTGAAAGGCTAGTGTGGGGAGACCTGTTTAACCCTCTTGGCCACATACAGCAAATACATCAATTATTAGGGGCATGCTGAATTACAGAAGAGGACAAAGAGGTTCCCAATATCCGAATATACTCTTCCCTCCTCCTTTCTTTTCTATTGACATTGAATTTATGAAAATAACAACACCAGTACATCACCATTGTAGAAAATGAGAAGGACTAAAGAGTGCAAAGGAGAAAAGAACACTCATAGATAATCCCACTATATACGTATAATCACCATTAATATTTCATTCAGCAATTCCTGGGAATGCCTACTGCATACAGTCTACTCTGCTGGCAGTATAAATACAGAAATGACTAATACATACTATCTGTCCTCAAAGTAGGGCAGAAAAAAGGGATTTTGCTGGCCTTATGTAATGTACAGATTCAGAATTCATCTTATATTCTTCATGCTGTTTTAAGTCTTTTGCATAAAGCTTAATATTAACATTGTATGATAGGAGAGCGCTTCTGCCTGGTCTTTCTGCTCTTCCAAGAGATACCTGTTAGGAAAGTGAAAGCACATTACCCAACCTGGGCGCCTCAGGAGGTAGGTGGTCTGAGTGAAGGTTACTGTGAACACCTTTGCCCTGCCCCACAAGCCTGGTACATCTCATCTGGGTTCACCTTTTAAGATGTCAAAGTACTTGGCAATGTTTTACAGTATTTTCCACTAAAAGTGTGTCATGTAAATCAATCATGGCTTCAATTTTCCTGTCAGACTTCAGTAACCTTAAACTGAAGCTTTTAGAATTAATCAAAAGAGTAACTCAATTTAATTTTTCATGAGACAGTAACAGTATGGGGCTTATTTTCAACTATCTGAATTATAAACATTTGTTAATAAATGCTGTTTAATAAATTTTTACGGAAAGAGTTTAAAAGGTGGATTTTTTTTAAAGTCTACTCTTATTTTTTGCATAAATAGCCAGCTGCTTTTCTTTTTCCACCTGAAGGTGAAAAGAATTGCACCTCTCTTCAATGGAAAATCAGTGTCTTCAACTGAATAGATAATTTATTGGGTTGTATTTATTTAAAGACAATCTGCCTACTTAAACCGTTAATCTCATGGGAACGGGCACAGATCTCTATAGCCCAGTGTCAAGCATATTCTAGGTGCTCAATAATTATTTGGTAAATAAATAAATATCTATGTAAGAGTAAGGGAGCTAGGCAGAAGGTTGTCTTGATTAGTCATTGCCGTATAAACAGAAGAAAAATAGGAAATAAACCTGTAATCTTCCAGGAAGTGTCAAAAAATAGTCTTATCATTTAGCCAGCCATTACAAGCTTATTGATAATGTCTTATAATCTTAGAAACTAAACAGGAGAAGCGATATTTTTCTTTACCACTCCTTCCTTTATTTTATAAACCACTTTACTGAGGAATGATTGACATATAAAAGCTGTGCATATTTAATATATACATCTTGATGAGTTTGGGGATAAGTATCTACCCAGGAAACCGTCAATAGCATCAAGGCCACAGAAATATCTATCACCTTCCAAAGTCTTCTACCCCACCTTGATTATTATTGCTGTTTTGTTTTGATAAAAACATTTAAGACAAGTTCTACCCTCTTAGCAAATTATGACTATACAATTCAGTATTCTTAGCTATAGGCACCATGCTGTTCCGGGTGTATAGTATATCTCCAGAACTTATTTATCACAAAATTTTCCCATTTCCATGCAAAACACACAAAAAGTTAAAAATCCTCAAAGCTGCCTCTCCTACATTCTTGATATATCCCTGGGGAAAATTCATTCATTTATTCATCTAACTATCTATGCATGCAGTCCACATATATTTGTAGAGCAGCTATTCTCTGCCACAACTTTGACTAGGCATTGGGAAAACACAGACCAATAAGAAGCAGTCAGTCGTGCTCGCTTCGGCAGTACATGTACTAAAATTGGAAAGATACAGAGAAGATTAGCAGGGCCCCTGTAAAAAAAAAAAAGAAAAGAAAAGAAGCATTAGTCTTTGCCTTCAAAGAGCTCACAGTCTAATGGGAAAGAAGGACATAAAGAGACAGTTAAAACACCACCAGTTACAGGAATAACTACTGTTATTGCAGGCACATAGAGGAAGGGCTGGCATGAACTTGGGGAGCAAGAAAAAAATTATGAGAAGGCTTCCTGGAGGAGTTATGCCTGAGCTTAACTTTAAAGGGTGAGTAGGATGAAGCTACAAGTTGGGAGAATTCAGGGTCTTCCTATGCAGAGAAAACCACACAAGGAGTACAAAGTGGATAGAGAACATGTGAGTGTTACCAGGAAGCCCAGAGATACAAGGCCAGGGAGGTGACAGAAGCTGGATTGTGAAGGGACTTGTTAATTAAAAATTATTTGAAAACATCAGTTTTAATAGCTACATAATATTCTATCATATCAGTCAACCATAATCCCTGCGCTTGGTTTCCTAATATTTAACATTTAGATCATTTGTATTTTTTACTCATTAAATATTTGTGATAACAATTATTGTGCACAAATCCTTGTCTACATTCTTATTTACTTAAGAAAAATATGTTAATGAAATGACTTCAGTTGCAACTAACACAAAAACTGACTCAATGCGAATTAAAGAATAAAGGACATTTATTGGATCTTATACCTGAAAATACAGAGTAGGAGAGATTTCAGTGTGGGTTTATCCATCAGCTCAATGATGTCAACAAATGCCTAATTTCTCTCTGTCTCTCTCCCCTGCAACCTCAGAGTAAGCTTCCTCTGAAGGCTAGTTCCCCCGGGCTTATGGAGTAGCTGCCAGCAGTAATCACAGCTGTGCGATTTCTCGACTTTGTCCAATGGGAGAGTCAAACAACTGTTAAACAGGAGGCTGCAATTGCTCATCCATGCTAAGCCAATTCCAGAGACCACACAATGCCGCACACTGATCAAAGGCTCAGGTTGGGATATCTAAGCCAGTATAGGTTTCTGTTTCATTGATTTTATGTTCCAATAGATAATTAAAAATATGAATACATAATTTCTAAGTGAGGAAATAAAAAAAGATAGCAAATATTGAAAGAAAACATTTTATCATAACAAACTGAGGATTTTTCCATGGTTTCTTTGTTTATAAACAAGCCAACAATAAAGGAATGCTGTTTTCCTTGAAGTTTGATAGAAATTTTCTGAGATCCTTCCTGATCTTCGTACCATAAAACTGTTTTTAAAATGATCACTGTGATAATTAAAATAATACAAATAAACAGTGAATGTTTTCCTCCCCCAAGGAAGATATGTATTTATTGGGACTTTTTTCTAGAATACATAATATATGTATTTTTATGAAAAAATGGCACAATACCTTATGTATATTATATAATTTTCTTTTTTAACAAAATATTTCACTTCACGGTAACATAACATTTTATTGTCAATTCATACAGAATTACCTCATTCTTTTTAACAGCAACATATTCCATTACACGCATCCATAATTTCTTTAGCTATTCCCCTTTTGATAGACTTTTAGGTTATCTAAAAGCATAATGAGGCACCTAGAAGAGGCAATTTTAAAATTTAGTCTAGGTTTTTATACAGTTAAAGAAGATAATTATATACATATTTAATATTACATAATTTATTTTATTGATTAAGTTAATCTAGAGCCAATGTACTGCTACAGGAAAGCAGTGTCTGACAGACAGCCTCATGGAAAAAAGGATAACATCCACTCTTATGAAAAAGGGGTATGTTTTCCAAAAGGGAGTTGGAGATAGATGTCAGGATTAAAATAGTCTGGCATGAGAACAGGTCTTCATTATTCACCAAAAATAATGAATTAGTAAGGGGATTACATATCTTGAGTTATATTTTAGTATTACTATTATACATACAACATGTTTAAGTATATTGTTTGACAATTATTTTACTTATTTGTACACAGGTTCCTAATTACTGTGTGCATCAGGAATTATGTCAAAAATTGCTTATTTCTCTTCTTCAATAAGGGAGTCAAAATAGTCATTGTACTCAGCTGCCTCTGCGTCAGCCCTCACAACTTTACTTACTATAAACATTATGAAGACAATCACCCTTATAAAATTGCTGAAACCAGTTATTTCTTTTCCCCAGAAAAATAGTCTACCATCATTCACCTTCTCCAAACCTGTTTTCAGAAACTCAAAGCAGTAGCAACGTTAACTGACCTAGACTTTTATTAAATTTCTCTTACCTGCCACCCCTCTGATGGTATGAGCATATGCATGAACCAGAAGTAAAGTGATCTTAAGAAAAAGGGAGAGAAACAGAAACCTAAATATCAGTACCTGGATGAAGAAAATGTTATCACTTAGAGAGGTGTTAGTTCATAGTGTAAAGACTGCAGAGTTATTGTATACATCTAGTTGTTATATTTTTTAATAGCAATGGAATATAATTGAATAAATACCCCCACAAGTATGAATATGCTATTTTTTGCAGTATACCTTATCAGACAAAGTACTAAGCCCCAAGTTTTATTGAAACATTTGGTATGTTGTCCTGATTTTAAGATTTGCTTGTTCTTTGCAGGTAGAACTAGATGAAGGGTACAAGTATGAATGAAATATTTAACGTCTCACAATTTCTTTGAAATAATGCAGGTATGTTGAATATTCTGCAAATCCCTAACTATGCAGCACTACACCTCCCTCAATTCATATTCCTTTTTGTGCTTCAAAGACTTGTTTAGGTCATTCTTCTAATTATGTTTATATTGTAGAATTGCTTATCCTACGACAGTATTATGAGTGGTTATCACATTCTAAAATGCCAGATACTTTTTAATTGTAATGGTGCCTACTTTTTTATCGAAACTATTCATATTTTATTACTGTAAACAACTTTGATCATAATGATGCCATTCAAAAGAGCTGATCAAGCTGAGAAAAATGACACTACAGTCGTAAAGCCACTCTATATGTAGCTATTAACATTTTATAGTGTATATAAGGAAAACTGTTTTAAGTTGCAACCATAGACAAATAAGAAAATTAATTTTAAACACAAGTCTATGTTTTTAAGATTGGAATAGTCTACTTAAATAATTATTGCCAACAGATACTTTTACATTTCAACACATGACCTTCAATACAAAAAACAACATATACTGAATTTGGCATTAGAGAAATTCAAATCACCTTACTTTGCCAGGGTAGAAAACAAGATCTTTCATTCCTAGAAACAAGTAAGAAAGAAACACACCATAACCTCCCTTCAAAGCTATTCTCTGGTTACATTCCAGAAGGGACAAGGTTATATATGAGGAGTTTTAAGAGGCACATTCTTACGGTACTACTAGGATGTAACACTCTCTTTAAATGGAATCAAAGACACTTACCGGGTCCCTACTATGTATGTGATGTGTTGCAAAGTATGGCAGAGAACATGGCCTGTAACATAAGGAAGCCTATAATCGAATTGAGGAGAGATGAGATAAACACATGAACAATTAAAGACTAGAATCTCAGTTCCACAAATATTTAAATAACAGTGTGACAACAATAGAAGCAATACAAGCCCATGTGTACGCATAATGGCCAAGAAAACTGGAGAGAAACAGCCATTACTGGAATTCAGAGGGAGAGTTTTAGATTGGGGTGGTGAAATAATTTTTTATGAAGGAATTCTTTAGCTGGGTCTTGAAAGACAGGTAATAATAATATTTCACGTTTGTTTAATGTTTTGTAGGGTGTTGGAAAGTACTTCAAGCTGTAGGACAAATATGACTTAACTTTTGGTAGTATCAATTTTACTTAGGATATTTAAAAACATATAAAATAAACAAGGATTGACTATTACTATTTATTATTTAAACCATCAATAACAGTGACTAAAATTGTGAATCACTTTTGTCTTGGCAATGACTAAGTGTTATACATACATGTTATCGTTTATAATGGAATCTGTCATTTATAATGAAATTGAAACTTTAATTTTCACAGACGAATAATGGGCTTAAGAAATTTTATAGGTTGCTGTAAAATATATTTTCTTTTTCTTAGGATACTTTTTGCTCAGGAAGCATGGCTAGTCAGGTGGCTTCACTGACATTATTTGCTTTGATTCCCATGACAATCTCTGTGTGAGCAGCATAGGGTTTAAAGATGAACAAAGTAAAGCTCAATGTCTTAGTGGCTAACCTTAATGTCTTAAGGTTCATTCAGGTAAGATATGACTAATGAATGATTTCAAGTACAGTGCTTTTTCTCTAATGCAAATGAACTCGGGGCCAGGTAGTTGATACAGTGGATTGCAGTGGGACTAGGGGTGAAACAGTAGGTGGAGATCACAGTGAACTAGTCAATATCCTCCTAAAGGCATGTAGATTCAAAAAAGAAGTTTCAAACACTGGAGAGCAGGATGGGGTGGGGTCAAGGGGAACTTTGAGCTTTATTTAAATTGTTTGTTAAAAATTTACATATGGGAGAGTCTTCAAGATGGCTGACTGAAAGCATCCAGCTCTCATCTCCTCCATGAAGAATCAAAATAGCAAGTAGATAATCATACTTCAAATAGAGTATCTAAGAGAGAACACTAGAATTCAATAGAGAAATGACAGGAAAGATCTGAGGCATGGAAGGAGAAGGAAGTGAGGCAGGCAATTTGCCCCGGAACATCTGAGAGCCCAAAGATAATCCCCAGTGTGGGAAAAGGGTAAGCGAGACAGATCTAGGAGTCCATATTCCTATCATAGATTCCTGCAAGCCTAGCCATGGGAGAGCCCCATGGTCTTTGTGGGCCCTGAGACTAGCATAAGGAGCTGCCTGGGGACCATGAACAGCACTTCTCCAGAGAGGGAGCTCACACAGGGGTCCACCCTTCCCCAAGTCCTAAGCAGCGGCAGCATGGTGCCATTTTGAGACGCCAGCCCCCACCAGACTGTAACCTGCCGTGAGACCCAATAGCCCCTGCATCTTCATATCCCTGGAGCTTCACTGATATTTCCTTTTGTTTTCCTGGAAGGCCATAGTGGCACAATGCTAGTTTTATCT